GTGGTGGCTGCAGTGGAGGAGGGTGTTCCCGTGGTGGTCGAGGTCGTGAACGTGTGGGTGGTGGTGGGTGCCGGGGTGGTCCGCGCGCTTGTGCCCAGTGTAGGTGTGCTGCTTGCAGATGAGGCGCCACCCTCAGTCTGCGTCGTCCCCGGACTGCTGGCAGACGTGGAAGGGGAGCCTGCAGATGTACCTGGAACACTGGTCGAGAGGGAGGGAGGTGGAGGGGTGTGCGTGGTCGTGAGCGTAGGCGACGCGCTAGGCGTTGTGGCGGAGGTTGTGCTGGTTTCCGCACTGTGGGAGGTGGGCGATGAAGAGGAGGTGAAGGTGGGGGAGGAGGACGTGCTGGAGGCAGTCAATGTGGAGGTGAACTCGCTGGTGGTGGTCAAGGGGCCAGTGGTGCCCAGGGACGTGGGGGTGGTGGTTGTCAGTGTTGTGGTTGGGATACGTGTACTAATAGAAGACGGGGCTGCGACTGTGGATGTCAGTCTGGTACCAGAGGTAGGGTGCGAAGGTGTTGCTGCAGACGTGGTTGTGCTTCCCGTGGATCGGGTGTTTGAGGACGCGGTCTCTGAAGTGGTGTATGGTGTTGTGAGGGTGGGTGTGGTTACCGTGTCTGAGGTAGACGTCGCCGCCGTGTGAGGAGCTGAGGGAGTGGGGGAGCTGACTATGACTGAGCTTTCAGGGATCATGGTGACAGTGGGAGTGGTGTTTTCAGTTGTCCCTGGGGTGACCGTGCGTGTGAGAGATGTGGTCGTGAGAGAAGAGGTCATGACTGAGGTGTCTTTCTCTTTCGTAATGTTATCACTAGTGGTGGTGGTTACTCCTGACTTCTCTGTCCCAGGAATGTTGGTATAAGAGTTGGTTAAGGACACTTGGGTCATTGTCACACAAGTGGTGGTGGGATAAGTGGTGGTGATTATAAGATTCGTTGGATTGATGCACTCTGTGGTGCTCATATGGACAAGGATGGTAGGTGGAGTCGTTTCAACCTTGATGACAAACTTGGTTGTTGGGATTGTTGAGGTGCTGGAACTGACTGGAGATTGCAGCAATGTTTCCGAAAAGGGTTTAAGGTACGGGGAGGTGGTGAGAGTCATAAATGTGTTTTCCCTCCTGCTGGGAGCCAGTGAAGTGGTTTTTGGGGTGCTGAGTGGCCACCCTGCTGTGCCTTTCAAGTGTGGGCCACTGCTGAGGGCAGTGTGGGGTGCCTCTGCCCTGGAGAAAAGCTCAGTAGAGGTGGCTGTGGCCATGGGTAAAGTGCCTGTATTGGTGGTAGGAGAGAGGAATTCGTTTGTAGGTCATGTTGTCACCATAACACCACAAAGGTTATTCCCACGCCATTTTCAAGATACGTATCACAAAAGGTAGGAATTTCCATCACTTATTTTCCATCACAGGCAGTTTGGGTTTGGGGCCTTTCAGGTTCTGAAGGCCAACATCTGTCTACTCCTTGAGGCAGTCTCTCCAAGGGGAGTGGGGTTGCCTCCGTCCCTTGCGCACCTTGTCTGAGTGACTGACCTTTCAGCCCCAGGATGGCCTCTGCTGAGCATGTGGGTTCAGCTGAGGCTCTTGCCTCCTCCGCTCGCCACCCCATCCCTTGCTCCTGGCACACGTGCTCTTCTCTTCCCCTGCTCCCTGCCCTCTCCTCCACCAGCTGCCCAAAGTCGTTGCTCTACTGGCTCTCTGCCCAAACCCTTTGGCCCACCTCTGCCCCCCTCCCTCTGACCCTTGCTGTCTGGGCGGACACTCCTCATCGACGAGAGAACCCACCTAAGGCTGGGCTGGGGTCGGGACACATCATGGACCCCGGGAGACAAGGGGTCAGACTGGGGAAGCTGGCATAGAGAACAGCAAAGTGGAAAACAGAGATTGAAGCCCAGACTCTACTGAGACTGGGAACAAGGAGAGAGAACCACAGTGACAGGCTGAGGGACAGGACAGACAAGGAAACTTCCAGAAAGAGATACCTCGGCACGCAACCATGAATCCCATAAGGTTTAGCAATATTAATAATAAAAATAGACCTATTTTCTATTACCTACTCTGTTTCATCCACGAGGTTATTAGTTTACAGATAGGCATCTGTTGCTCTGTAGACATATTATAGGCAGTAAGTGTGAGCGTCAGAGATCTCGGAATGTGGGGAGAGAGTGCTGGGGATGACTCGGGAGCCACAGCAGTTGTAAGCAGGGAGCCCCGACACCTCCTGCCCACTCAGTGTCAGCCTCCTCCTCACCTGGACCCAGCACCTCTTCCCTCTGAGAGCTGGGGTTTCACTTCTCAGCCAGGGTGGGGGTGTTAGAGATGTGGAGGGGCGGAGATTATGAAGATGCCTGGGCAAGAACCCTTGAAGCCAGGAGGTGGCCCTGGAGGCAAGTGAGAGGGTGTGGACCGTGGGCCTCTGGGTTTGGAAGGTCTAGGATTGGGGGTCAGGAGCAGACACGGGGAGGCAGAGGGAAGGCGAGTGAAGAGGAATTGCAGGGTTTCCAAGGGGCAGGAGAGAGAAGGCCTGGGAACCCACACCCACTGGGTGGTCTCAGATCCACCCTTTCGGAGTAATCCAGATCTCCCCACCTTGGCCCTGCCAATGACAGCTGTACCCAGAAACATGGCCGGCTGGAGGCTGGCAGACAGGGCAGAGCTGGAGGAGGGGGCACCAGGACCAAAGGCGAAGAGGCCCCAGGGAGAAGAGGTCGCCCCAGAGGCAGAGGCTGGGACTCTCAGGAGGGCAGCACTGGTGGAAATAAAGGGAGAAATAGAATCCAGGGTGGAGCGAGCACCAAGGCTGGTGGAAGTGGGACAGTAGAAGAGGAGGGAGGCTCAGAAAACTGAACCAAAGTGGGAAGAGCACTCTTCCAGAAAGAGGTTTCGCCCACCATCCTGATGCGAGAGAGCCGACCCCTGCAACCTGCTGGGTGCTGGGCGGAGAGCAGCACCAGCTGGACCCAGCTTCCCTCTCCTCCCCCACGTCACTTCTCTGTGCACACAGAGGTCTGAGAGACCCCTCCTCAGTCTCCCCTTAGGCCTTGGAGCCACCCCCAACACTCCTGCCCTGGAACATCAGGAGGGTCTCTCCAGCTCTCCGTGTACCTCACCCCCTCACCTCTGGTCCCCGGAGAGGCTGTGAGCATCCAGAGGAGGCCGAGGAGCCCGAGCAGCTGCATGGGCCTGGTGCAGTGGTGGCTGGAGGCAGAGCAGACGCAAGCACGGGGACAGCAGCAGGGAGACAGCCACAGTGTGCGCAGCAGCACCCAGCTCAAACTGAAAGTCATGGTTATCTACCCTGCTGGGTGTGTGGTTGAGCATAGCTTGACCTTTGCACCGCCCCACCGCACCCCTCTTCCCCCCTTCTCCCTGTGTCTGACTTCAGTGGTGTGGGAAGGGAAGATGCAGAGAAGGTAGGACAAGCCCAGGAGGTGTCAGATGGGGAGAGCCGCTGGCGGCCCAACCCCCAGCCTGCCTGGCCCACTCGGAGCAGTTCCCAGGACACTGCCCTTCCCCTCCTCTGCCCCCAACCAAGAACTAGCAGATCTGGATGGAGGATACACTTGGCCAAGACCTTGGACTCTGGAGTCTGGGGCCACCTCTCACAGCCTCTCCTTCATTTCAATCCCAGCTTCAGGGGAGGGAGGTGGAACCTTGCTGTCTTTCACTGCCTTGGCTCTTCCCTCTCTCCATCCAGCCCTTAGCACAGCTCTGAAGCTGCGACACCATATCAATGCCGAGTGAGCAATGCTTTCTGGGAGAATTCAATCAGAAGTCATTTCAATACCTGAGGGTTTGGGCCAGGTCCCAGAAAAGAAAAATACAGATGGTCAATGGAAACCATCAACTGAATGACTAGTTTTCACTCAGAAGATTAGCAACTATCAGGACATTTGAATCCATTCACTGTTGGGGAATGTGTGAAGAATAAACACTCCTTATCCAGCTGGTGGGAGTGTAAGTGGTTTGGACTTTAAAATGGCATTGGGTGGCATCTATTAAAATTTTTAATTTACACTCAAGGACCAGTAATTCCACTGTTCCCTCTCTGTGTTCAAGAAGCACTTCAAGGAGGCATTCATGAGGATGTTAATTGCCACCCAGTCTGTTGCAATCACAATACGGATTGGAAACAACCCAAATAACCCTTAATCGGAAACTAGAATGTCTATGGAAAATTCACATTGTGGACTACCATGCTTGAATCAAAAAGAATTGTACCAGCATGGAAAGACTTTCAGAATGTCTTATTGAAGGAAACCAGTAGACACAGCTTTGTTAAAGCCCACGACATATACATTTCCTGTGAATGACACACACAAACACAGACACACACACACATATAAGTGCATTCAAAATTTGGAAAGACGCTCACCTACCCCAACAACAGGGTGAGGATAGCTCAGAGACGCACAGGAATGATGGTCAGGGAACTTGAGCTCTATCTGTAGTTTTTACTTTTTACTTTGACGAAGATTCTGTCCTTGACCAAACTCTAGCCAGGCTCCTCTGAGCCCTCTTCTCAAACACGCCTCAACCTTGGTCTATAAAGACTTGAACAAACACTAACAAGGTTTCTAACAGCTCATAAACGCACCTCCAGGATGACCACAGCCCCCTTAAAGTGCCTGCCTGAGAAAACTCAAGGCTGCCAAGAGAACTCACTGTCTGGTCCAGCAACACCTGAAGATGGGGCCCATCTCCTAGCCTCTCTGGAGGGATGGGAACCTAATTTTGATAAGTGCCACTTAGCAAGCCCAGATGGGTTTCACACCAAAACCCCTCCTCTTTTTGTAATTTTTCACCTCCCTGACTCTACTGAGCCCCTGCTCGCCCCCCTCCCTCCTCCCTCACTCTCCATTTAAAATGCCCAGTCACCTCTGTGCAAATCCAAGCGGCCTTCAGTTCACACTGGACTCTTTTCCCTACTGTAATAGTATCTTACTGATTAAAATCTGTTGTTACCACATTAACGAGTGTCTTTCTTGGTTTTCTTTGATAACTTGGAGAATATATTATGCATTTGAAGGTAATTAAAAAATAACTCAGAGGAGGATTCTGGGAATCTGGCCCAGTAGGACACACCAGGAGTCCATCCTCCCACCCAGACAACAATTGCACTGGCGGAATCTGTCTACTGTAACAGTTTCAGGGTGTGAGAGTCTGTTGAAGGCTTGCAACTTCCACTGGAAGACCTGGATGGTAAACTGCAATTAATTTTGGTCATCTTCGGCTTGTAGCACAGTAGCAGCTACCCGTCCCACACCCACAGCCACATGGCCTGCAGCATTGCGTGTGTTCCTGGAGCAGCTTGCACACTGCTTGTAGGAGCTAGGCTAGGCACTATGGACCATGTGCTCAAATATCAGGAATCTGTGCTCTGATCAGTGAGTGCCGCTTCTGCTCAGGAAGGTGCAGGAGAAGAGGCACAGAGCCATTGTTATTGCAGCTCTCCCACATTCTTTCAAGACCCTCCCCCTGAAATTACTTCCCCAGCATTTAAAGGACCAGTGACCTTGCCCCCCTTTCATTTTTTTCTTTTTCACCCTTTTGGGAGTAAGACATTCAAGACTAGGAGATTCAAAACAACCGCATATATAGGGAAAATTAGAAGTGACTGTGCATGCCCAGGGAAAGGATTAGAAAAGACCTGAGAAGACCTTCGTTTACACATCATGCTGCTCTTTGGCACACAGACGGGCTACAATAGTGAAATACAAAAATAAACAAAAGCAATAACAGGAAACAGCAAACGCTGGGGAAGGACGAGAATCTGATTTCCAGAATTACCACACTATTAGATTCAAAGGTTCAGTGTTCAACAAAAAATCACAAAGCATGCAAAGAAACAGAAAAGTACTGTTCATTCAAGGAAAAAACATAAATCAACAGAAACTGTCCCGGAAGAAAACCCAATGGTAGATATACTAGACAAAGACATTAGAACAACTGACTTAAAGATGCTCAAAGAACTACAGGAAGAAGTGAGGAGAGTCCAGAAAATGGTGTGTGAACAAAATGGAAATATCAATAAAGAAACAGAAAACCTAAAGAGAAACCAAGAAGAAATTCTGGAGCCGAACAGTCCAATAACTGAAATAAAAAATTCACTAGAGGGATTCAAAGGCAGATTTGAGCAGGCAGAAGAAAGGATCTTCAAACTTGAAGATAGGACAATGGGAATTACTGAGTCTGAGAAAAAGGAAGAAAACAACATTGAAGAAAAGTGAGCAGAGCCTAAGGGACCTGTGGGACACCATCAAGCAGACCAGCATACATATTGTGGAAGTCCCAGAAGAGGAAAGAGAGAATGGGCAGCGAGAATATTTGAAAAGGTACTGGTGAAAACTTCCCAAATTTGATGAAAGACAGGAATATAAACAT